AGGGGGAGAACGGCGGTGCGTGTCTTTCGAGCGGCCGGCTTCCAGCGCGCGCTCCGTGCCTTCGGCCGTGCTTTGGCTGCGCGCGCACGCTCGAGGTGCACGAGACGCCGAAGCATTGTCGAAGCTAGGAAGGCTAGGCGGGACGACCTCCTCCCTGCCCTTCTCACCTTGTCTCCACCTTGGCCAAGGTGGAGTGGCGTAGTGAAATAAGTGTTTATTATGGAAGAATGGGTTTCAGCCCTTTGTCTGTGTGCGTCTACTTTCACGCACAACACTCGGAGAGCCAATCAGCGCAACGTACGGAGGCAGCTCAGCGAATGACAATGCCGAAACATATGTTTAGACCAAAAAACGCAGTCTGAGTTGTGACATAAAGCAATGCAAAACGTCACGCTTGCATTGCATAATGTCACAACTCAGACTGCGTTTTTTTGGTCTAAACGTGTGTTTCGGCATTGTCATTCGCTGAACTGCCTCCGTACGTTGCGCTGATTGGCTCTCCGAGTGTTGTGCGTGGAAGTAGACGCACAGACTTTTTTTAGAGTGTATTCCCTAGGTTCACGGGGGAGAGGGAGGAGGGTTAGGTATACGCGTTTCAGTGCTCCTTCCGGACGTAACGCTAGCCACAGCGTTGATATTTTCAAGAAAGTGCGTTTAGGTTTTACTCGATCCCCGCGCTTGCCCGTGAATGAAGTGCTGCACTTTCGTTTTATCTGGGGCCCCTCGAAACTCGAAGCAAAACATAAATTTTCTAGTGGAAGAAAATTCGATTGGTCGTTGTGAAGGGCGTGGAAAATTGGGAGATTCACCAAGTTTCTTAACATGCCCAAATTACGTAAAAAAAAAAAAAAAAAGAAAAAGAAAAGCAGGTTGCTTTGTGGTGTGGTTACGGGGAGGTATAGCGAAACAGGGGACTCACGTTCATATTATACTTCTGTGCGCGAATAAATGTTTAAAAAAATTGAAGCACACGTTCTTGCATCTTACAGTTATGTGCGAACGCATCAAACATCGTGCCACAAACTAAACACACACTCACAAAAAAAAAAAAAACGAAAAAAAAAAACCGGACGTCAGTGTTGCGTGGTTTGCCAAATTCCTTTAAATACTTCGCTTTGGAAGACACGCGCCTCGTGCGTCGGTGCCCTTGCCACTAGTCCTAAACAAATATACTTTAAGCTAAGGTACCCAGAAATCCGTTTCCACTTAGGCAAGAACAAATAACCTTTGTGCGAAGGCAAGAACAAATAACCTCCGTGCGAAAGCAAGAACAAATAACCTCCGTGAATTTTCTTGAAATCAGTTTATAACCTGTTCATTTTTTTAACACTTTATACGCTAATGGCTGTCTCCTATCAGTTTCCTGTACCGCACTTTAGGTAACGCAAGAGCGTTATACCAAAATTTACCAGTCTAAAAAACACCGCAGAAAGCGCGGCAGCTCTCGGTTTGGGGGAGTCTCCGGTTGTGACATAATTAGATGCTGAACCAACCAACTTGCGCCAACAGTGCTTCTTTTCTTCTCTTTTCTTTTTCGCTCTTGACATACAAGAACAATGCCAGAGATACAAAATGACATAAGGTGATAAAAATGTCAGCCAAGCTTGTATTGTGGACTTAAAAGATTCCCATTGTCAGAAGCGGTTCGATACGTGAAATCCACTCAAGCACGGAACTGCCAGCAGTGCGTGACGACGTTTTAAGCTAGCTTTTCCCGCATGGAGTTTGAACTGCGCCGGCAGCACTCGAGGTACAAGCTAGTTGGAAATGACGTCGCAAGAGGCGAGGGCGTAGGAAATAAGCGCAGGCTTCCGAGGAAGCGGGGAGACGCAAAAAAGGCGGAAACAATTGCTGGGGTGTGCGATGGCATGAGACCCGAACTGCCGCTAGAGCTCAGCCTCGCTGGGGCTTTCTTTCAGGGACTCTACACAGGGCGATGTTCGCGCCGTCGAGGCACTAAATGGCTACCCAGTCCATCCGTGCAACATCGTCGCGAAGCAACATACAATGCGCCGAGAAACCGGCGTCCGGTATGCGGCTCTCGCATTCGAACGCGTTCGACGAGTGCAGTGGAGACAAAGGGCAGCCAGCTTTAGGTCTACCCACTAATCAACCGAATCAGAAATCGGCGTTCTGACGTCCCTCTCATCTCCTCTTCTCCCTCACTTTTTAAATAATAGAACAAAAACAAAACATCAGCATATATGGTACCCGCTCACACTGTTTACTAGCAAACGGCACCCGTGGACGCTGAGCAGACTCAGTAGTTTTGTCGTTAAAATATAGCTCACTGCTACCTTCCAGTCGTGCTTCTTGTTTATAAACAAGACGCTCTTTTGTATGCGACTCCAATGTTTACAAATGGACAGCCCAGAGCGCAATCTCCGCTTTCCGTTTTCGTCGCCGTCATGCGCCGAAGGTTGAAAATGGCTCCGGCGTGCAAACATCAATCAGGGAACCAAACACCCCCCCCCCCCCCCCCCCCCTCTCTTCTTTTTTTTTTCTTCTTTTCTTTTCTGCAACTTATTTTAAATTTTTACGATTTTACGGTCTGTCCAATTTCTCAACTGCGCATTCGGCAGACGATGTCCTAATGGAGCGTGTTTGTTGACAAATAAATATTCCCTCCTTCGTAATGGTTTTGTATAGGACGGGACACTCGTAAGAACTTTAGGAGATTTCATTGCCTCAAAGAGTGCTCTCTGTCCATCGGCGGAAGTTGGCGGTTGCTTCACGACTCCCTGTGCACACTTCGCTGTCTTTACGCGAGTGTTTGACCTTGAAGAACAAATTGCAGGCAGTGTCTGCGATGCTCCTTAAAAGGCGCGGCCCTCGTGGCCCCTTTGTTTCCCTTAAAATAGGGAACCGCGTATACGAGTTTATCATGTCGAGACGACCAACAAGAGCTCAGACGACTTCTACAACTATACTTTCAGTTTCCAAGAGTGAAAGAAATGTCCCCAACGAAAGGCTTCTTCCCAGCGGGGCTTCTTTGCTTGGAATCGCGTTGTATCGTGAAACTATACTACAGCTTATTTTTGCAGTCTGTCTCGTTACTCCTCGGACCAACGTCGTAGAGCGTATACGCTGTTTGTCGAGCTTTGTTTAAAAATAAATAGGAGATATCTGACTACGCGAGGCTGATATGAGCTGGATTGTGTGCTGGACCCGTTCCTTTGGACGTCCAAAGAACACGGAGAGAGTAAACGAGGATATTATTTTCATTTTATCAAGGTTTTGTGGAAGAGCATTGCGGCATCGATAGGCAAAGTTCGCGCGTGGCCGCAGATGCGCCGTTGCAACTTGTTTCCTCTGTCAAGCATGTTCGGTGGCGTTTTCTCCTGGAAATTGCGAAAGTCACGACTCGTCGAGTGGTCAGTCTGTTTTCACAACTTTTGTTTGCGAGAATGTGTGTAACAGTCGCGTTCTCTTCGAAGAAAAATACATTCTTGAGAGTTCCCAGCACGAAACTTTCCAATTACTGAAAACGAAACCTTGCGTTGTTGTTGCTTTTTTTTTTTTTTCTACTTTTTTCTACTTCTACTGACCGTTGATAAGCAAGCACGTTTGCCCACGGGGACTGCGGGATCTGCGCATTCTCCGTAACGACCACGGCGCGGCGCTACCAGAAACATCAGTTGGTGTAGGTAAGGGTTTAGAAAGTTACGATGGGGAATGTATTGGACAATCGGGCCTTCTGAAGCAGCTAAATGTTTTAGAGGATTCAGTCCCTGCTTCATTTTAACCAAGTCAGGCTTGAACAGCGCGTAGCTCGGGAGACTTCGCTTTAGTTTTCCAAGGTACTCGCCATCTGACGGAGGCTTATCGCGGAGAAGGCGCCGTGTGACCGAGATTTCGGTTGCACGTGATAAGAACCCCAGGTGATCGAAATGAGCCCACAGTCCTGCAAGAGGGCGTGCCAGATGCCTTTCGTTGGTTTTACGCGCAAAACACAATTTTCTTGTAATCAGTTTAGTTTTAGTTAAAATAAAATTATAGGCTTTCCCTGAATTCGTTTGGATCTGTTTCCCTTCGTATCCCCGGAAGCGTCGTGGACGGCACCTTGCAACGCGTGCAACGTTCAACACTCGCACATTGCTTGCAACTTTGGTTGCTGCAAGCATCCGTATTGTCTGGGATTCCTTGTAGTCGCCGCACACCTATTTGCCTCGGATGTCTTCTCGCAGTTGTCTCTAACACTTGACACCTATTGCCCTAGCGCTTTTCAGACATTTTTCTTCTTGCCTTGTCCGCCTGACTATCTTTAGATGGCAAAATGATAGTCACTACCATAGAAATCGGAAAAATGACTGTCTAGCTTTTTTTTTTAATAAAAGAAAAAAAAACAACAAGAAATTCCTTCAATCAGTTTTCCGCTATCATAGTATCGCTGTCGTTCCTGACTGATTGCAATGTCGGGAAAAAAAAAAAGTTAGGTTCCTCCTGGAACGTTGCTAATTCCCCCCTTCTTTTCTTGCCTTGTCTTGTCATGAAGGTGCATCTTAGATTAGCTTTATGTTATCAAGACGTACGTGTTTCAAAAGCCAAAATTCTAGCCAAAACCATCGCTTCTTCCTTCGCAACAAAACCTTGTGAGAACTACTTCGTGCAGCGCATGAGTAATGCGCAATGTGATAACGAAGATAGTTTCTCCAGTAAAAATGCATACCGTAGAACCCCTAACAAACGCTTACCCCCAATGATCGCCCACCTCGTATGTTTTTTTCTTTTATCCCAACACCGGGGAAGGGCGCTCATTCGGGTTTTACTGTGGTGAGAGGGGAAAACGCCCAACACAACATTTAGATCTCTCTACTCGGCATTGGATGGAAGGGGGCCGCATTGGAGTCTATTTCTCGACCGTTTTTATTTATTTTTTTTTTCTTTTGCGTTTTTCTGTGGAGGATGGATGATCGCTGGAGGGGATGGGAGCACGGAATCGTAGGGTCCCGGGCGGAGCGCGGTTTCGGGGGGCTGACACTGTGGCCTGCCTTGCCCAGTGTGTCCGAGGACCCTGGGTCGGCGTTCCGGGCTGCAGCGCGGTCCCCGGCCACCGAGCCTGGCCCCGGTCCTCCCGGCGGCGGTCGAAGCCCCCCCGGCGCCAAGCAGCCCGGGCTCAGGTCCCGTCGCCGCAAGAAGTGAGTGCCGCCCGCACGCACTGCTGAGCTCGCTGGCACCCCTGCATCACCCACCCACTCGGATGTGACACCCTCCTCCTCCCTCCTTTTATAACCATCCATCCCTGGAAAGCCCCGGAACATTTGAACATTTTATTGCCGTTCTCAGAGCCTGGAAATCGTTCCGTTTGGGAAAGCTCGATGAATGGATGGATGGCTGAATGCGTACGACTGAACCCTTCAAATCGGACGGCGGCTCGCGCCACCTATAGCTATATTACCAATTTGTGGACCCCTGTTGGCGGTTTCGAATGCGCATGGCTGTCGAACGATGTTTCGCTCTTCTAAAAATGGATTCTGGCCGAAGCAACGAGTGACAATCATTTACGTCGTGAAGCCCGGCTCTCTTTCTGAAAAAGGAGTGCAAATGGCAGAATGCAGGACATTTAAAATATCACTAAAGAAATGAAAGCCGTTTATGACTCCCTGTAACGCCGAATTAGAGCGCAGCTCTTGAGGAGGAGGAGGAGGGGGAAGGGTACTGAGGGTCACGTGTTCTCGGGGGGGGGGGGGGGGGGGTCACGTGGCCTGGGGAGGCGTGACCTTGGGGGGGCCTTGGGGGTGGGGTCACGTGACCTCACGGTTACGCCGACGCCGCTCAAGCCGGAAACGGGCGCCTAAGAGCTGCGCTTTAAAAAATAATATTAAATGAATATGGTAACTATAGAATTCGCCTCAATATTTGAGTGAGGCACATGCATATTTCGAACGAGCGGCGGCCCTTCTTGACATTTGTCGTGCAGTGGCATTTTTTTTTTTTTTTTTTCCCTTCGGGAACGGTCGCTTTAAAAATTTCGGGGTTCGCGATCTTGAAAAAAATATTCGCGTGTCATTGCCTTAAAATACATTTTTCGGCAATCTGCGAGCTTATGTTTGCAGAGAGGTTGCTAATCTCCTTTTCTCCGGGTGCAGCTTATGCTAAGTTTCTCGCCGTCTTCCAAAATGCTAAAAAAAAAAAAAGAGACGATCGACGATAAGGTAGCATATATCCGGGACGTTATTAGCTGAGGCATTCAGCTCCTCAGATATTATTTAAATAAAGTATTATGCTTCCAAATTGTATACATAAATAAATCTGTATTGCGCCGCCAGCCAGTATCTGTATTGCACCGCAGCTAAAGCAGCACGCCTACCCTGAGCGACCGTAAATTGCTCAGTCCACGTTTCCACAAGCGGGTCACTTCCCAGAAAGCCGATTGGAGAACAGTATTTGGCACTCGCGTTAAAAAATAACTAAAACTCCCCCTTTTATTTTTTTATTTCTTGTTCTTTTTTGCAAGTAGCGTTAAGTGCGCTAAAGCAAGAAATGAGCTGTCAAGGCTACATCTTATTCTTCCAGCACTTGCTCGCGGATAGTGATTGACGGACTGGCCGCATGTACGTGCGCGAAATGCAAAGTGCGTATGTATCGAGGGTCTGTAGAAAGAGCACTCCTCTCTCCAAGCCTCACGTGCAGTCTTCGGCACGCGGCTGATCCGATGGTTGGCGATGTGGACGTGCTTCCGCTAAGATATGCAGACCGCGCTGTGCGCTGGAGCAACCCTTGTGTTGCTTTCTCGTGCATCGACTAGATTGCGGCTTGAATAATCTCATGGAGCTCCCCTCCAACCCTCATTCTTCGTACCGCCTCCCCTTTACCGACGCTGCACGTCCCTGGACAACACCATAACGTCAGTACTCGCTACAACAGCGCCGACGCAGACGGTGCAACTGGATTCTAGTCCTAGCTGATCCAGCGCTGCTTTCAGTCTGGGCCATAGTGTGACGGCGTTGGACTCTGAGTGCAAAGACCTTGTCTATGGTCTCTGATATTGCCCTGCCTGCAGCCGCTTCTATTAGTATATGGTCTCATAAATTTAATAGTGTAGTCGCCCGTTTGGGCTCGCAGACGAACCTATAGGTGTGCTGCGCGCTTCCTTCAGCGTTTCTCGTGGGCATCGCGCGCGGTGAGCGAGGAGGCCTTAGGCACCCTCAGGAATATCGAAGAGGGAATGTTCCAAGACAGTGTGTTCGATGTCCCGTGCCCCTCTACCCAGTTTCTACTCATGGCCTGGCGGATAGCTGCTCGTCATCCCGTCCGGCAAGTTGATCAGTTTTGTCTTCAATTTCCCATGCCGTCGGCCAGGTGGCAAGGGGGCTGGAGACGGTTGCTTTGCCGTACCAAGCTTTATTTATCTGTGGTTCGATGCGAACGCATGTTGCTTGATTTCGAATGGCTGATAAAGGCGACTGCGGACTCACAACGGGTTCCGCTGACAAAGGGGTTCGGTGCAGCGTTATCGAAGACGCCCGCGTGGATGCGGAAACCGTTTCTCTTGTGGCAAACGAAGCATTTTGCGTATGGCTGTGCCTTCGATGGTGTTGCGCGCCGTATGTGGCATAGTGTGTCTGGCCTTCAATGAGAGCGTTTCCGAAATTCGACCTCGCCACTCCGATTACTACCATCATCCGAGTGTCTGTATCTGTGACGTGCTGACGGTGGCCTTCTGGTGGTTAATGAAGGATGTATTTATAACAGGAAGTCTTTGCATTCCGATGCAACGCATGAATCGAATAAAAGTACTGCGTCAGCGTTCATTGCGGACTCGTGTCCAGCCAATGAAGAGTTTTCGTAGACTGTTTTCCCCACTCCGCTACGCTCTCCGCAACTAAGACGCCGCTAGTGCGCATGCGCGCTGCTGGCCTTGACTGCAGAGTTCCGGATCTCGTAGCGGGGTGCGGAGAGCGTTGCGGGACGTAAGAAACGATGTATGAAAACACCCTATTCAGTTGGCACACGCTCGGCCCACAGGGTACCTTGATGGGGTCTTCAGGAATTTATTCAGGTCAGCGCTTAGTGTAGACCGGTAGGGTCCTTTATTATTATTATTTTTTTTTTCAATATTGAAACTGGAACGAGTTAAGAAAGAACTGTACGACGAAGAACATATTCCCCTCTGCCCTTGACGTATGTAAGTGATGCGGCCGGGGGAAATATATGTTTACCCGCAATGCCGTGACGAAAGGTAGACTGATATTTCAGTGGGACTGGATGTTCCATCGAACGTGTTTTATCGAACGCCTTTTCATCGAAACCGTATAATCGAGTACCGTTTTATCGGAAAGCCATTTGAAATAGCGGTAGAGAGTTTTCTGGCACTTGAAGGCCGACCAACAAGCAGAAAGAAAGAAGCTCTCCCTCAATTCCTTCGTTCCATTTGAGAAAAGGGGAGACCCTCCTCCTCTCTACCGGGAGTAGTTCAGAGATACGCTCTTGTGTGGAGAGGCGGGGAAAAGTGGGCGAGTGGGGAATGGAGAGAATGAAACTGGGAACCGGTTTTTTCCCCGGTAGAAGACGATTCTGTATATGTCGGACTTTAAAAACAAATTAACGTATAATTTACGTTTTAGTTGCCTGAGAGACCGTAAGTGGATTAGAGGAAATAAAACAGCTGCCCCAACCGCAATTGCCTATTTTCATTCTTAATAATCGAATTCCTAATTAATGGAAGTACGCGTTTAATTCTGCTATAATTGAGAACGACAGACGCTTGGCAGTCACGGTGGAGGACATGCCGCAGCTTATATGGCTATGTGAAATCGTAGCTGAATTTGAAATTACCTCGTTCAGATGGCAGCAATCCTCACACTCAAGTGGGTAAAAAGATAGGTCTTCAAAAGTCGAAATTTATGACGAAAGGTCAGCAAACCTAACCCCGAATGCCGTTGTTGTTGTTGTTTTCTGCCGAGGGCTTGTAGCGGCCATCCATCTGTAATGGGGATGCAATGGTCGACAATTTAAGCGATACACGTGGGTATACTTTGTTCCCCTGAGCGTATTGAACATAATAGACTCGGACATCTCCACGCATGGACGCCGGCGTTTGACATCCGAGCGCGTTTGAAGAGTGAGCAGAGACAAAAGCAGCCATGGCATTACGTCTGCCCATTAATCATTCCGGTCGGCGTTCAGACGTCCCCATGCGCTCCCGTCTCCTCCTCGCCCTCAGTTTCTTGCCGCATAAACAAGTCAGCACTGTACGTGCTCGCACCGGGAAGCGTCAGTGCGCATGTGCTTTCAAAAACATTAAAAAAAAAATAAACAAGAGATTAAAAAAAAGAAAGTTGTCACTATCCTGCAACGTCAGGGACTACGGCGCGTCAGACATGCGCCCCGCGAAGGCTGACGGTAGCTTGTCCATCGCGCTGAATCGGGCACATTCGTATGTGCATTGTAGACTCTCCGAGCTGAGTTTACCTCACACTAAATTAAAACTATAAAATGAACCATGCGTGATTGTATGGGACCATTTTGTAGGCGCTCTCTGGGGAAGCTTCCTCCTGAGCACACGGACGCTCTTAGACGCCGCAGACACTGCAGTTAGTCGGAGTTACACGGCTGACCAGACTGCGCTTAGCCCATTAACCATAGTTTGCGTAAACTGAATTTTTCAATCAATGATTATTCGATAAAATTAAGATTTTGTTCCCATATCCTGATATATGCTGCGTCGAGCCGTGACTAATATTCACTTCTTCAGCCACATCATCGATGGTGACACGCCGGTTCCCGTGTATGAGCCGTTCCGCAGCAGAGATTGCGTCCGGCGTCGTTGAAGTGTGAGCCCGGCAGGAGCGAGGTGCGTCTGTCAAACTCGTAAACTTGCCCAAGCGACACAAATGCGTCTCCGTACTGCTTCAGCATCCAGCTATGAATATCCGCAAGCTTTTCGCCCTCTGCTGCCAAAAATCGGATAACCAAACGCTGCTCCTCCCTGGTGCATGGTAACAAGGAGGCGGCCATTTTGAAAATGCTGTGGTCACGTGACATTTACCATCAAGTCGCCAGGCCGGCGTGCACAGCTGCTTCTTGTAGTAGAGGTCAAAACATATTTGCAGCGCAGCAGTCTATCACTTGATTTGATATTCTCACGGCTGAATTGCGGTTATCTTTTTTTTACCCTGCCTCGTATTTGTCCTTT